CCTTCCCATGAGCTAACTAGGGAAGACTTAACAGCCGGGACCCCGGACGCCGCCGGCAGTCCCACCCAGAGGCTTCAAGCCTCCAAGTGTGTTTTTTACCTCCAGAGGGGAGATTTTATTTTGAAAGAAGGAACCGGATGTACAGCTTGAATCTTTCTGGCCTGGACTGAAACAGACGAAAAGTTACCTGAAATAACACCTTTCTCTCCAAGGAACAGTGAGCAAGCCGATTAAACGTTGTAAGCATGCTTATTGTGTCAGTCAGTTGTTTGTTTGTTTTGATTTTTAATAAAAAATGTTATTAACTGGATTGCTGGTTCCTGTTTGGAAGAACCCTGCTTTGCAGTTAGAGGCATGTTACATCCAGCTGATCCTACATCTTGGGACCAGCCTGCTTTTTAACCTGAGGCCTGCTGTATTCATAGAGATATATATATATAAAGGCTAGATAAGTCATAGCGGAGTCTCCAGTGTCCTCACACGGTGGCCATCTTGGGTCGGGGAGCTCGGCCACTCTTAACGTGAATGTGTGTGGTGTATTTACAATATAAAAAAACATAACTTGGTCAATTCTGATCGTATTTTCAAACAGATTTTTTTTTATTGTAAAGGTGAGACATGTTGTTATAAAATGGCATATTTATAATGAACATTGATATAATAATTGTGTTATGTTGATAGGTAAAGCACTATCAATATATACACCAGAGATGGGGACTTATGACTCGGACTTGAGTCACACTTAAGTCCCTACAATTAGAGACTTGACTTGGACTTGTGGTTTGAGACTTACGAACAATGCAAGTCTTTTCGCTGCCCGGCTCATGATTCTCACTCCCTCAATACACATCCATGCTCCGCTCCTTTGAGAACAAATACATAAAGTTTTAAGAGCAAAGACATTTACTCTTGCTCTCCAAATGAAAATATACGCTCTTGATTAAAGTCAGAATAATTCTTCCATACACTCCGCTCCCCCTCGCCTGACAACGGGAGGGGCCAGCGCTGTCCATTGTTAATGACACGTACCCTATGTAACAAACAGAGCTTCAGCATGGCAGGCATTCATTATAAGCTTTTCTTACAGAGACTTTATTCAAGACCATGACAAGAGACTGGCAAAATGCAAAGTGTGTGGAGTCCAAATCAAAAATTTGTTTTTGTGATGAGTTGTGCAGCCCTTTTGAAGGAATCTGGTTAATCATCTTCGCTGACATGCTTTTATGCATTTAAAAATATCTTTTCTGGTATTTTATTGTAAAATCAGCAGCAGACTTGTTGGATTTGTTCTTTGTCAATGGCGAAATATAATTACAGTATGCTTTTGTAAGACTACAAGTGCAAAATACAGTTAACAATATTCTAAATGCTTGATTGTTGTTATTGCTGTATTTTAAAAACAGTATTATGTTTTAATAGTATTATTAAAACAGAATATTATGTTTTAATAG